TGCAGAAGCCACCCTGCAGCTCCCCCGCCACTGCCGCCAACATCCGGCCAGGCCAAACCAATACAAGGTGCTAGAGGAAAGTATGCAAAAAGTGCATCAGTGTACTTAGAAATGAGAGTTCTTTTTGTCAGTTATTGGTTAGCAAGCAATCACCATTCTGTTAACTGAGTAGTTAAAATAGTGAATCTGCGTGCTCTCCTGTCAATTAGTTTTTTCTGCAGTCTATCTAACCTTGTTCCAGTAAGCTGCCAAGCAGGTGTAATACAGCTCTCCACAATCTAGTGCCTGAGGTTGATGCTAGGCCCCTTGCTGACATGTTTTCATTTTTTAAAAAAACCCAAAACATTAAACAGATGCAAATGGTGTTACGTTATGTCTTTTGTTTTCAGGACCTGGCCATGCCCTCATAGAGCAGTGGAATCCCCTTGGCTTGGTCGGAATCATCACTGCCTTCAACTTCCCTGTTGCAGTTTATGGGTGGAACAGTGCAATTGCAATGATCTGTGGAAACGCTTGCCTTTGGTGAGTTACAGCTCTAGGAGTATTTTAAAATTGGAGAGAGGTCTCAGGCACGCAATTTTTCTCAAGTGTCTGGTGTTTCAGTATATTTAGTTCATGTAGGTTTGATTTCAGTTTATTCTTAGGTTGGCTTGTAGTCAGAGCTTTATTTTTTTCGTAACCTCTTTTATGAGGTATTGAGATTCAGACCTGTCCAGGACCTAGCCAAATGGCCTGTTAGTAAAGAACTCAGGTTGAGGGCTTGCAGCAGTGGTAGTGAACTGGTAATAATTTCAGAATTGGTACAACTAAAACCAAGAATCTAAAAATGTAGCTTTACTTCCTCTCCCAATCCCTGAATCAGCTTCTTCTGCCTGCTTCACTCTGATGTTTGGCATAGCTCTTGTTCAGGTGGATTTCAGTGATAGTTCTGAATGCCCAGCTATGGAAAGAAATACTTGAGTTCCTGTTTTAACATGTATCTGAAAAACAGCCTAACCGAAGTGTACTGTATTTCAGATACCATAAAAATTGCATGTTTGAATATTTCTTATTCTCAAAGAATTGGTAAGAATGTAATCTTAAAAAAATAAATTGTTTTTCCCTTTTAGGAAGGGTGCTCCTACAACATCCCTCATTAGTGTTGCTGTTACAAAGTGAGTTCTGGGTTTTTTTGCTTTCTGTTTTGTTTTTAAGCAACTTGTCTGAGGTAGTGCTTAGTGGTTGGAAGAACTACTTTCCCTTTGTTACCTAGAAAGCAGCAGAATGTGTGGGATCCTACCTGTACTGTTGACCATTTATTTCTGGCACCAAGGCTGTGCTTCTGCTGTAGCACAGTAGCTTCTGTACTTTAACAGGGCTAGCTATGTGGTTTGTTTCCCTGTAGAAGATGAATTGCTTCCAAAATTCAGTTTCCCTCATGCTACAGAATGATCCCTTTTTTGGGGAGTTTCAACCCACCAGGAGCACCTAGTTTCTTGGCAAGTTCTACTGGCTGGCTGTGTAGACCTATATCCTGAAGATGCCTTTACGCAATCTTTATTATCAAAACCTCATACCACCTTAGCTTGCACTTCAAGGGTTCAAAACTCATTCTTGATGAAAAGGAACTCCAAAGAGTAAATGTCATAATGATACTTACTGTGGGTTTATTGTTACTTTGTTTTCTATATTAGCATTTAAAATTCTTACCTGTTGGATGCTACCAATTACATTTATTTTTAAATGCTAAATATAAATAGCCTCCTCTAAAATAACTAGTTAGTAAGTCTTATAGCTTTAATACTATCTCCTGAGAGCAATGGCCCCAAATTCCTATGAGTATTTTATGTAGCTCCATGGAATGTCTCCTTCTGATGGTAAAAGACTGTATGGCCATGATTTTCACACCCTGATCTAATGCTTGTCTCTGCAGTTGTGTGGATGCATAATGAACATACTTCAGTCTTCTCTGTCAGATGTGATTGTTACACCGAAGTCCTTGATGAGAGAAGTGTGTTGCATATTGTACAAACTGGATGCCAATTAAGTGCAAGACTGCTGCTTCTTAAAAATCTGTAGCTTATGTGCGTGGTCAGACAGCTTTAGTGGGTCATTACCTGTTGTATGCACCTGTCAGAAGTCTGAATTTTTTATATCTTTAATTGTAGGATAATTGTCAAGGTCTTGGAGGATAACAAAGTGCCTGGAGCGATCTGTTCTCTGGTTTGTGGTGGAGCAGACATTGGGTAGGCAACATCTCTTGTGCTTTTTGAAGGTGTATAGAGGATGAAGAATATTTTCTGAGGTACTTCTCATGAAATTATTTTGATGTCTAGGAGTTCTTAGTACATGCACTTACCCATTGCCATAATTTGTATCAGCTGATCTGAAACACTGTCCCTGCTGTAAACATAATATTTATTTCTATGTGCTGTTGTGAGATCAGCTGCTAACAAATAACTTGTCAGACATTTAATGAAGAGACATGACTACGTTCATATTCCACTTCTGCCTGTGCTTATACCCACAGAATACAGCTTTTTATTAAATTCCACTCATCATGTTCTTAAGAGTTTTCAATGCCTAGTCCATTGATCTTTTGGACCGCTTATGGAGAACGTCCCCATTTTCCATGCTGGCACAGGACTCGGCACTTTCTTGTGCTCGGAAGCTGTACAGATCCAATTAGTTTGGTTATTACAGTATAGCGATTCCCAATATAGAAGTATACTCAGATGTATCTTTTGAGCATTTCAAAATAGAACAGATGTAAGCATTAAAAGAACTCATAAGTGTGCGTATTAGGCAACATGACAATTGGAGCTGATCTCACAATGTACTTTAGATTGATTTTCAAAATCAGTGCAGGTGATGCTCTTTTGGTCTGAAAAGGGGGAGGGAAGCAGCCTTTTTCCTCTTTTCTGACTAAGAAGGAGCTTTCTTGCTGTCTTAGTCAGTTACCTGATGTTTTCAGAGGAGTGGTTCTGACTTTAGAAGATCTCCCTGGCTGAAGTTAGTTTATGTGGAAGGTGGAAGCAGCTTTTCGAGCTGTCTGCTATTTCTTTGACCATGGTGGTATGTTTCCCGTTTTGCAGGACAGCAATGGCCAAAGATGAGAGAATGGACTTGTTGTCCTTCACTGGCAGCACAAAAGTGGGCAAGCAAGTAGCACTTCTGGTTCAGGAAAGATTTGGTGAGTGTGTGGGGTCTCCTCTGTTTCTTTCCATGGTTGGAAAAGGCAGCAGAGCCCCACAGGATTTAAAAATAACAGCATGTTTTACTTACCTTTTGTGTTACCTTTTATTTATATTTTTTTTAACTTGGTGGAAATACAATGTTGAAACAGTTTAGAGTGAGGTAGTGCATTTTTCAATTAGTTCTGTCACAACTCAGAGGGTTTTTTTTTCCAGGGTATTCACCAATCTGTGTCCCTACAGTTAATTGAGGAGGAGTGTCTGTGTATATAACTATTTGGAAATCGTCAAGATGAACAGCTGGGACCTGTGATCTCTTTTACTCCTTATAAATACTGGAGAAAAGTTACGATTTTTGGGGTGCTGGTTTTCTGAAAATATTTAAAAGTCTGCAGGCATCAGTCCCTGCACAGCTGCTGGATTCTAACTTTTGAGTTTTAAACAGAAAATCATATGAACAGGATTTTTTAATTTTATACATTTGAACTTCATAAGAGTGCAAAACCCCAGCAAAAAAAAACTCCAACAAAACCAACCCACCCCAAAAAACCACCCCAACACCCAAACCAACAATCAGAACAAATTGCAAATATTCACCCAGAAGTTAGATGGCAATTCTGTCTCTCAGATTTGAGATAATACAGTTGCCAGAGAAATAAAGTGTGCGTTTTTATTTCTGTAGCACCTCCTCCTCTTCTTTGTCTGCATCATACTATTTCAACTGTAGCTTTTATCTATTTTCATCTTTTCCTTTCCAGTGCCATTTTTACTAATTTAAGCTTGTTTTTGCTGAAACTCTGCAGGTATCTTTCTTCACAATATGTGATGGATGTAGTATTATTCAATGTAAATTTCTGCTTTGGCACATTAAAGTGATTAGTTTACTAAAGTTTTTTGTCTATCCAGAAAAATATGCTTAATGAAACTTTGCTCTAGTTAGAGGTGCAGTGAATACATTTGCACATGACATAACTTGTTTTGTGTGTTTTTACTAGGTCGAAGTCTGCTGGAACTGGGAGGAAATAATGCCATTATTGGTAATGTGCACTGTAGAAATTTAGTCCCATAGATGATATTTGGAAGTTAGTATGCAAGTGTTTGTTTCACTTTTTTTTTTTTTTTACCCCCACACTAGGAGTTTAAAAAATACATAGCAGAATGTTGGGTTTCTTCTGTCTTCACAATTGTGGAGGGGTGGTGTTTTAAGATAAAAAATGGAAGCTCAAGCTTTTCTATCTATTGTTGAAGTGAAGAAGGGAACAAAAGAAGCACTACGCCTTGATAACGGGATGTGAATAATGCTAAATAAATTTGATTTTAGGATAGCTCTGATCTGATGAACACCACGTTTTTAGCATTTGAAAACCTATATGTAAATTCTAAGGCACTTAAGATACTTGAAAGCAAAGTGTGCAGGTATTTATTTCAGTAGCATATTTTACAGGTTGAAGTAGCTTAGGGTGTGATCTAGTTCCCAGAGAAGTATAACATAAATACTGTGAAGATGAACAATATGGCAGAAAGAAAATATAAGCTAGATAAATACCTAAATTGCTGCCCTGTTGTGTTTTAGCCTTCTGTTTCACCTATGTCATATTTTGATCAAATGAAATTTTATATCAAGAACATCAAGCTCCTTTGAAACTCACATTTGAGCAAGTCTTTGTAGAAAGAGTATAAAGCATAAACTCCCTTTATACTTAGAAAATTGTTTCTTTTTATGTGAAAGTCCTCTATTTTTTCTGGAATTGGCCTTCAGTGATGGCATAAACAGTGTTTGAATGGACTTTTTTCCAGACTTAATAAAAATTTTGGATACTTAGAGAATTCTGTGGAACTGGTTAAGCTGAGTGATATTTTGAGGATCTTTTGAGGCCTATACATACTAGCTTTGCTTCAAACACCCCAGTATCTTCTGGCCAGATGGATGTGTTCAACTCATTTATATTTTACATTATCGTATAGCTGTTTGTGGTAGCTATGTTTTTGCGTACTGTCAGGATACACATTACCATTGTTACTTTATGCTGCTAGACTTTTCAGGGAGAGAAGGACAAGGTGAAGAAATGGCAAGAAGTTGCATTTAGTTTCTTGAATTAAAATGAAGCTGAATTTCCTCGCAAGCTTTATTGAAAAAGGCTGTCTTGAGCAGTTCAGACCTACGTTTGTGTCACACTGTGTGTGTCTAATTCCAGGTGTAAAAGTAATAGGTGTTTTGAGGTGTCTCTGTATATATTACTGTGCTGTGCTAACGTGACTATTCCTAATGCTTCTTGACCAGCTTGTCAGGATATCCTAATGTTTCGTGTCTTAAGTCTTGGAAACTGCCTGTTTTCTTCAGTAACATGCTTATGTTAAAATTTTTGTTTAGTGTTTGAAGATGCAGATCTGAACCTAGTCATTCCATCTGCTCTATTTGCTGCTGTGGGAACAGCGGGTCAGAGGTGCACAACTGCTAGAAGGCTGGTGAGTAAATGTGTATTGTTTGGTTTGGCTAGCTCTGAATTTAACCATTATTCCGAATTAGCTCAGAAAATCATCATCATCATCATCATAGAATGGCCTAGGCTGGAAGGGACCTTAGAGATCATTTAGCCCAACCTCTCTGTTGTGGGCAGGGACGCCACCTCTCGACTAGACCTGGCAACACATGGGGACCGAGTGGGAATCGAACCTACGAGCTCAGTGTTGTCATTATTGTCAGCATCGCGCTCAAACCACTGAGCTAACCGGCCCCCTGAATGCTGAACAGTTCCTAATCTTATGGAGAGCAACAAATAATCTTTGAAACACATTTTTACTTTGTCAAAAATTTTGATGGGAAAAGAAGATTTCACTGTAATTCTAGCTCTAAAGTGTTTCTTTTTATGTATTTCTTAATGTGCCTGGGGCTAAAACTCAGACAAATAAAACAACATACTTCATGTATTTCTCTCTGTTTTCGTTGCCAGGGATTTTTGCTTATGCCTGCTACAAACTTTGGTGCAGGTTTTAGATTTCAGCAAAGCCACCTGTGCATGCATGCATGCATGCATGTGTCTTACCTACTTTTCGTTAATATTTAAGCAATCATTTTCAACAAGTTTAAAGGTTCTGTAATGTCAGTCTGTGTCTGTATAGTCTTTTCAGAGTTGGGTTGATTGGATAATTGTCCAAATTGGCATGGATTACCTTTGGTTGTATATGAAGGGCAGCAATTCCTCAAATTATAGGAATAAAACCCACTTAACTGAAGAGTTTACAGAACACGTTGATACCGTTGATCTGAAATGGGGTAAAATTAGAACAGTTTTTTGTTTCTTTGCTTCTTTTAAATCTTCTTGCTGAATATTTTAAATCTTCATTTTATGGTGTTAATGCTGTTTTGAGGCCTTGCTCGTGTGGCTATTTTCAGTTTTGGGATTTGCTGAGCAACATAGTCTCCAGAATTCATTCAGCCTGCTTCAGAGTGCAGTAGTACTTCAGGAATAGTTACGTAGGCTGAGGTGTTTTACAGCCTTCTTGTCACATTCCCTTTAGTTTCTACATGAAAGCGTCCATGATGAAGTGGTGGCAAAGCTTGCTAAGGCCTATGCCCAGGTCCGCATCGGTGATCCATGGGACTGTAAGTAGCCATTTTCAACTCATGGGTTTAGGAGACAAGTTTCTGTTTGTTTCTTTCCGTTTAAATTCCAAAGGCATTATAGACCAAAGGTGTCTTATTTTAGCAGTTTACCAAGTAGTGGGGATGGCTGGTTTAATTTAGAATACAGACTCTGAAAGGGAGATGTAAAATTCAGTTAATACCACTCATCTTTGACAGATTAAATAATTATTCCCAAAATGTCACGATAAGAGTACTGACAAATGTATACAGTTTTGCTGAAAGTGTGTATTTTGGATCTTCTGTTTTCAGCTGACACTCTCTATGGGCCTCTTCATACCAAAGAAGCAGTGAAAATGTTCCTTGATGCAGTAGAACAAGCAAAACAACAAGGTGGCTCTGTGGTCTATGGTGGAAAGGTGACTTTTATTCTCCCTACTACATCTAAGATTCTAGTTAAAAAATACAGTAACATGGTGGCTTAGGCCAAGATTTTACCTCTGTCCTGTCAGTCAGTACAGGATGTTAACTTAGTGTGAGGGTGTTTGAATTGCACTTGTGTCCTTAGGCTAAAGATGGATGTGCTATCTTCTTGTCCAAGAAGTGACTAAGAGCTTTTGGCTGCACCTTGCACTACTTCCTAGTTACAGGTGATGGCGAAAATACAAAGAGCAATGTAAGTGGTGAATATCAAACAACTAGCAAAGAAAAGTTGCTTTTCTGTCCCTGGATTCACAATATCAGACTTCAGGAATTACTGAGGAACCAAGACATCTGCTTGCACATCGTCATATGGGATGTTTAATTCTCATTAACTTAATGTCTAGGAATCCTTATCCTTCACTGGCACCTTCTTTATTCTTAATACCTTTAAAGTTCTGATCAGCTTACTGATCAGCTTACTAATCAGCTTACAAGTAGGAGAAAGGAAGTGGTTTTTGTCAACTGCTAAACTTTGCAATTAGTTTATCTCCTAAGCAGAGTAAGTTATGTTTCTGTATTTAAAACATACTTAACTGTGTAAAATTTTTCTACTCTGATGACCTGACCTTCTATTTCTGATAGCTAGGCACAGCTATAGTTAATTGGACCATGAGGTATTCCCTTGCCACACTGGTACTAAGCAGGATGCTGATTTGCACTTACCCAGTTCTTTCTTTTTATGTGTTTTGAAGGTTATAAATCGCCCTGGAAACTATGTTGAACCAACCATTGTGACTGGCCTTCCTCATAATGCACCCATTGTCCACACTGAGACATTTGCCCCCATACTGTACGTGCTGAAATTTAAGGTAAAGTAACAGTGAGGAATTAGATGTCAAGGTTGCTAACAGAAGAGTCAGGAGAGAGATTTTCAAATGTATGTCATATTCATGTAATTGTCCCACACCTTCAAAAAGTGGTAAATGTTGTTCTGCACCACTGGCATAGCTTACCTCACTGTGTAGTTACAGGAATAGATTTTCTCCTTGGAATTAAACCTTGCAAGGGAGGTCAAGGACAACAGAAAGGGCTTCTTCAAATACATGCAGGTAAAACTAACACTAGAGGCAATGTAGGGCCACTGCTGAATGAGGTGGGTGCAGAGGATACAGAGAAGGTAGAGTTACTGAATGCCTTCTTTGTCTCTGTCTATACTTGCCCTCATGGCCAAGAAGGCCAATGGCATCCTGGAGTTTATTAGAAGGGGAGTGGAAAGAGAGGTCCTCCTGCCCCTCTACTCTGCCCTGGTGAGGCCATATCTGGAGTATTCTGTCCAGTTCCGGGCCCCTCAGCTCAAGAGAGACAGGGAACTGCTGGAGAGAGTCCAGTGCAGAGCCACAGAGATGATGAAGGGAGTGGAACATCTCCCTGATGAGGAAAGGCTGAAGGAGCTGGGTCTCTTTAGCTTGGAGAAGAGGAGGCTGAGGGGTGACCTCATTCGTGTTTATAAGTGTGTCAAGGGAGAGTGTCAGGAGGATGGAGCCAGGCTGTTCTCAGTGATGTCCAATGACAGGACAAGGGGCAATGGGTACAAGCTGGAACATAGGAGGTTCCACAAAAATATTAGAAAAGACTTTTTCCCTGTGAGGGTGACAGAGCCCTGGCACAGGCTGCCCAGGGAGGTTGTGGAGTCTCCTTCTCTGGAGCCTTTCAAATCCTGCCTGGATGCGTTCCTGTGTGACCTACTGTAGGTGATCCTGCTCTGGCAGGGGGGCTGGACTAGATTGTAGAATCAGAGAATCATATAATGTTAGGGGTTGGAGGGGACCTCTAGAGATCATCTAGATCTAGATGATCTTTAGAGATCCCTTCCAACCCCTAACATTGTGTGATTCTGTGATTTTTATTGTTCTGGTCTGCCTGCTTAAGAGCAGGTTTTGTGTTCTGCACCATGGAGAGGTGTCCAATCCCTGACTTGTTACATGTGTATTTGCTAGGTGACATTTGGTATATTTGCATTATGGCTGCAGTATGTTTGTTTTTCCTCACAGTATTTCTTTGTAACTGCTTTACTTTGAATGGTCATGATTTAACCACTGACACATGCTTCTTTTAGGAGGAAGAGGAGGTTTTTGCCTGGAATAATGAAGTAAAACAAGGTCTTTCCAGCAGTATCTTTACCAAGGATTTGGGAAGAATTTTCCGGTGGCTTGGGTATAATAATTTGAATTATCTTTCTATCCTACTGAAGCATAAAATATCAGTATTCCTTGTATTTTGTAAACCTAGACACAATGCTAGCTGACCATTTTATAGTCTTTATTTTAGGGAGGGAACCTTTTCCGGTCCTGAGGAATAAATATGTTTTATCATTGTTCATAGGCCAAAGGGATCTGACTGTGGCATTGTGAATGTCAACATCCCAACCAGTGGGGCTGAGATTGGAGGTGCTTTTGGTATGTTACTTTTTTTCTTTATCCATTAAATGATGAAGTCCTCTAGTATCAGGTCTAGAGACTTGGTATTATTCCTCAGGCTGCTTCTTTTTGTTGTGTTTTTTTTTTTTTTAAAAGCCTGGGTTTTTTTTTTTTTTCCTGAACTGGAAGAGAATAAAGCATTACTACTATAAACCTAGTATAGTTTGGGTCTCCTCTTACTTTTCAAGGTCTTACTCAGTTAATGTAAGTTACTAAATCTGAATAAATCCATTAATTTTGAATTATACTGCTTTAGCAGAAAATAGAAATTGACTACAGGTAGTTAGTTTTCAGCTTTAAAAAATATGTGCATTTGTTTTTTAAATATTCTGTGTATCGTTTTTTCCCCTCTCATCCAAGGACTGTAACTCAGAAGTATGTTCTGACTATGTTTAGAGATGTGGCTGATTTGAAAACTGTTTAAACAGTTTTAATTTAAAACAGTCTTGAGCATTTTTGTTGTGTATTTTTGCACATGTGTAAAAATTACAGCATAAGTTATTTTTGTAAGGGAGTCGTTAAACAGATCTTTGTCTTTATTTCTCTGTGTTGTATATATGAAGGAAATGGTGGGAGGGAAGAAGAAATACTCACCTTACTATTTAAACAGTACAAGAACCAGCACATTCTCATACTCTCATCTCATGTTAAAACAAAATATCTTTAAAACAAGGTCCTCTGGTGCAAGCATGATGACACTCCAGGCAGATACTTTTTGGATCAGGCATGAGGAGAGGGCTAGCTGTCTGAGCTCTATGTGGTGGTGGTCTGGTTATTTATTTCACATACAGAACAACAGTAAAGGAATAGTTTTTCCTGTGATTTTAAAAAAAAATGTCTCATCTCCTGGAGTTAGTCCAGATTCCCTTGATCAAAAAAAAATCGGGTTTTCATTTGTAGTATTTTTTCCTGCAGGTGGTGAAAAGCACACTGGTGGGGGAAGAGAATCTGGAAGTGATTCATGGAAACTTTATATGAGACGGTCTACCTGGTAAGATAGACTTCTTAAATTCCAAATAAATGTAAATCATGGATAAAATTGCAAAAGTTCAAAATGTGTAAACCCTTGACTACAGAAGGTTATCTTTGCTAAATGTGAGATAACCATATAAAAGTGCAATTACCTTTTCTTTGTGCAGGAATTTACATCTGTGTTCATAGTAGAAGATGATTTGAAGGGTCTAGATAAAGACATTTCTTTACTTGCTGTTCCTCTAAAGATTCCCTCCCGCCCCCCTTAACTGATTTTAAATTTGGCTAAAAATTAAATGACTGAAACAGTGAGGTTTCCACTATTGCCAGTGATGGGTGATTTAGATACATGTTGGGTATCTATCCGTCGCTCTCCTGTGGTTCACCATTCCCCCTCTCTGCTGTCCTTCATAGCCTTTACCTGTGATAACTGTGATTTCTGTGCAAAGGCTTATGAACTTGAGAAGTTCCACCTTGATTTTTCTGTGTGGACATTCTCCTAGTAAGAGGTTAAATAGAAAATTATATTTTACTTTCCCTTTGATCTGTCAAGAAAAAGATAATGGGGAACGTGGTCTTTCCTACTGTATTGAAAATGAGGATAACATCAGTTCGTAACTTTAATAGGCAAACTGCTTACAGAAGTCTTTTGTATACATGTGACAGAAATCAGAAGGCATGTACATAGGAAATGGACTGCGTAATCTGTCTCAGTTATCAAGTCTGATCTCTAAATACTTGTTTGTCTTGCAGTACAATAAACTACAGCAAGGATTTACCATTGGCTCAAGGAATCAAGTTTCAGTAACAGCCTTATGAATGGCTGTGCCCTGAACTCTCCAAGCATTTCAGAACGAAGCACCTTCTAAGCCTCATGGTGAAGAAAATTAATTATCTGAAATTTACTTGCAGTGAAGATACCAATTCTGTCAAAAAAATCAGCTTTTCTCAAACAGCTTCACTTTCAGTGTATGAAATTACTACTTCAGTCTTCAAATGAGAATTATGTGGTCTTTGGGAAGAAGGGAGGGTGACCGAAACTAACAAACTTGGATTTAAGTGGCCTATATAATGTTGCCTTACTGCTGTGTTACAGTTTTAACACTGTCTGTCTCCGCTGCCTTCCCCCTCTTTGCTGATTATTTCCAGCTAGTAGGTTTGTGCTTCAAGCTACATGCTGAATTTCCTACAGATAACTGGTGCTGTGGGGGGTTGGGCAGTGCAGGGCTATTTTTCAATGCGTAAATAAAGGTACATTTTGTGAGATACCTTGGGTTTCTAGGGGTTTGGGGGTTTTGTTGGTTATTTTGGAGCAGAACATTGAGCTGATGGTCCATTTTCACACACTGAGCTGCAGCTTGGAAGAAGTATCACTGGGCTAAAAGGACCGCTTTAGTTTTTCCTGCCTCTTCTTCAGAAAGAAGACTTTTACCTTGTGTGTTGGGAGATGAGGCAAGACCAGGGGCTGCTGCAGTCCCTTGGAACCTCCGCTTAATGCTAGAAAGAGGCACAGCCAATGCAGGTTTTCACAGCCCTTGTGATACCCTACAACCAAACCAGGTGAAGAACTGGAGGTGCAGCCAGGAGAGAATACTCTGCAGAGAGAATCTGCAAGGTAAAGGCAAAGTGTTTATTTGTGTTTCACTTCTGGTGGGAGTTCCTCATTAGCCACTGAAGAATACAGCAACCAGCAGCTCATTTAGGAGCCCTGCTCAGATGCTGGGATAAGAAAAGGGGTGATGCTGCTACTAGGCTGATTTAGCTTTCCACAGAGTAACTTCTGAGGCTTTTAATGTACCATTTTTGGTACATTTCTTCCCAATCTTTTCTTTTTCCTCCCAAATTGTACCGTTTTTCAAGGGGATTTCTTTTCCTCCCAAATTTCTTTTACCTCTCAAATTTCCACATGTGGCAGAACTATTCATTTTGGGGTCAGGTTCTAGGACTCTGATTTGGCTTATGATTTATTTTGATGCTGAGATGTCATAACAATGTCATCCAAATCATGTCAAAGGTCCAACATAACACAGTGCTAGCAGGTCTTCTTCCACCTTAATATCTAGTTGTAAAATACATAATGTTTTGAATTTTGCATCTGTATTATAGAAGACGGTACCACTTTTTATGGAACAAACAGCAGGGCAGATGACATTTTTTTCCTACTGATGTTTGAAGCTTTTTCCTACTGTGTCCTTTTACAGCCAAGTGAACTCCTGTAGTAGTCTGTGCCTGGCCATTTAACCATGCAACAGTTTTGTGAAAGAATGTTGTGTATTTGCACACAGAAAGAATCAAAATCCTCTAAGCAGACAGACAAATCATAAGCACATAAGAGTGCAAAAAACCCAATACAATTTCCAAATTTAATTATTCTGAAAATAACACAAGTTATAAAAGCTGTGCTGTTCTGTGGCACTGAATGTTACTGTGAAACTCTCAACCACAAAGTTAATTCAAGAACTTCCCTCTTTTCTCCTCTTACTGCTTATTAAAAGTTTTTGGGTAGCCTCCTTACATCACATCTGTTCTAGACAATAAAGGACTTTCTACTCTTTGTGTAAAATTTCACAAGTTCAGTGGTTTAATTTAAAGGAATAAGGTTAGCTCTGCGATCTGGCCTTACATATGTGAACTTGAGCCACAGCATGGAACAGAATTGTGATGGAGAGTCTAATGTTTGGTCTTCAAATCATTATCTGAAAGTGAGTATGAATGGAAAAAATGTAGGAATGCAATCAGGAAGGTCACTGTATAGCAAACATGTTAAACTTTTTTAAAGGTTAATGACATTTTGATAGATAATCCCGCTTCATCACAAATTTTTGAGTAGTCTTACAGAAGACTCAGCCTGAAATACTTAACTACCTCTGTGTTATGAGCAAGCACATTAGATCCAGTTTATGTAGGCAAATAATGGTGTAAGTAAATTGCAAATTCATCCTGATTTTTACTGAGTACATGGATTAGTATTCCAAAAATCATGTCACCTGCATTGTCACTGGGCTGCTAGTATGACACTACAACAGGGAATTGTAATGCTTCATCTACTACCCAAATGGATTCTAATTCCTTAGATGATTTTTGCAGTTTGCTTCTCTCCACTCTTCTGTTTGTTTAGTTACCTGTTGTTGAAGAATGCTGCCTGAATTGACTAGCTGAATGACTTCCAGTGAAGTGGCTCTAGGGAGAGTGCCTTTTAACGATGGCTGTAGATTGTAGTAGATTTTGGCAAGGAATGGGGTGTCTATAAGCAATGGTTACAATTATGATGAGGTATTCGGAGATTTAAAAAACATGTTTCTCAATTTCTGCTTTAATTTGGAAAGTCCACTCAGAAGATTGTAAAATGCTCTTGTTGTGTTATTTCACCCAAAGAAAGCAATTTGAGAGTTTGTAAAATGTGTCTTGAAGCTACTGGTATGTGCAGCATAATGGAGCTTGCAGTTTTAATATAAATTCTATCAGTGGCATCCACTGTTGCATGTACTTAATTACTGCTGAGTGTGTAGCACCAGTGAATAACAAGTGTTAAATGACACGTGATCAATAATTCATGTGTTAGCACAGTATTGCTTACTGTGAAATGACCTCAATGGGAACAGTCTTGCAAGTAACTTCCTTTCTTTTTGTCACATTATTAACTGAAGAAAAATGCAAATTCTACCGTTGTTTTTACTGATAAACAGTATTGCTTTTTTTTTTTTTAATGAAAGGTTAAAAATCAAACCTACAGTCTGTGAGCTGCAAGCTGCTACTTTTCCATTCTGTAGCATATTATCACAGTTTCTAATAGCAGAGTTGGTAGGGAAACAGTTTTCAGGAGCCAGGAATACAACTCACCAATAGAAGGTCTAAACTGGGTTTTTTGCAAAAAGGTTGCCCTGCAATGTAGAATTTTAAAACAACTGGGAAAGGGCCCACTGTTGTCTCTCAGTACTAACAGGCCAAGCTGCTCATATTATATTCTTTCTTATGGTATTGCCGTGATTCAGTTCTATGTGTAGTTACTGGATGGGTCCCAAACCATCATCAAGTCGTGGCTGCCAGAACTCCTAATTTGCAGCAGCGTTCTGTCTTTCTTTATGAGATATTCTGTGTATAGCTGCTGCATTCAAGACTCATTAGTCTGTATGAATCTATTCAAGTCTCTGCATTAATGTCAACAGGAGCTAGGTTAAAAAAAAGAAAATGTAAATTACAGGACATCTCTTTGCCTGGATTGTCTTCTGAATTATTTGCCATGTTGATGCTGCACCAATGTGCTGGCCATGTATTGCACAAGTGCTTATTTTCCTGTGTAGAAGAGGACAGATATTTGTAAGGTTTATACATGGGTAAAATGACTTAACCACATAGAATTAAATTCTTGAGCAAAAACAATGCCGTGGCAAGGACTCTTTTAATGTCTTGTGATCAGTATTCTGACATGTGTATTCCTTGATCAGCCAAACATGCTTGCAGACGTGTTTGCTACCTGAATAGTGTATGAAACTTAATGGATTAATTGCATTCCCTTGTTTGCAAACTTCTGCTGCCACTGAGGCATTTTTTTTGCAGTGAAAAGCATCTGGTCTCCTCTTCCTTTTCTACCGTGGTTGCCTGGGGCTGCCTGCTACAAAGGTACCTACTTGTTCAGAGTCTCCCTCTCCTGCCAAATTATTAGCACTGATTCTTCATGCAGCTTATAGCTTTCCTCTGAACAACAGGGAAATGCTTCTGCATTTCGGGACAGGGACTTGGCAGCGAAGGCGTAGCCGAGCCTGTTTTTTTAATGGTCATGTTCCACCCGGTGTCGCTGTTGGTCAGGCGAAAGCCCGCACCTCCGCGTTGGCCCGCCAGCTGTGTAAAACACGAACTGCTTTGTCTCAATGCCTTTTATGTGCTGGCACATCTGGGAACACTGCTTCTGAACTGGTAATTAAATACACTTACTTCTGCAAAAAGCCTCAGCTGATTAGTGCAATTGTTACATCAAACACTGACTCTAAAAGCCAAAGGATAAAAATAATGATGTTTCAGCTGGATACTTATCTCCAGGGAAGAACAAGTTGTTAAATGCATTCTTTGCTCAGTGTGTTACTCTTCACCAGCATTACAGCTCTGTTTTCATGCAACCTGGTTTCAAGGTGGGTTTAAAGGGAAAAATAGTGCAAGCTTGATCTCTGAGCTGCAGAGGAAGCCATATCCTTTCGTAAGATCTGGAAACTTGGAAGTTTGTGGCAATTTGTGCTTCATGATTCCCTGGCACTGTCCTTACAGGTGTCCAAACCTCCTTAGATCTGGTAATAAAGTTAGCATCACCCATTCACTGATTCAGGGGAATGTTACAGGGGTAAAGAAATGGCAGCATGCAAGTTTAAAAATGAGATACTGATGAAGAACAAAGGATAAATACCATCTCTCTTTCTCCTAAGACTTTTATTTAATCCCCAGAACTACTACTGAGCATTTATTGTCTCCTGTCTTTTGTGGATTGTATGAGGCTACTCACTCATCAGCCTGTGATATGGGCTGATCTACAACAATAAAAATCTCTGTCTGATGTGGCATCTGCATTTGAGAAATATCTAGGAAGTCTAGCACATTCCCTCTTCAGTTGTATTGTTTCTTTTTTTTTTTTTTACCATAATTGCTGGTATTTTTATATTTTTAACACATTTATCACCAGAAATATGAAAGATACTTATAAAAGCCCAGAAGATAAACCTCTTTCTAGCTCATACATAACTGCATTTGTTTATGGATGTATGCGCTCACAATTATGTGTTTGAGGGTGTCTATTTGACCGATAAACAGTCATTCCTCCTTCTCCTCTCAATGTGACTCAGACAGCACTTGATTTAGGGTCTTGGTTGAAGGTGGAACAAATAAGCTTATGGTGATGTTTATTGATAGAGTTCAAGTTGAACTACCCTGCTAAGTTTAGCTGAGGTATTAAATCTCTGTAGGTTGAAAAAAAACAGTGTGGGGAATTTTAGGTGAAGGAGAGGGGTATGTAGGATCACCAAGTGACAGAAAAGGAGACAG